ATGTTACCAAAGTAATCTGGTATCCCCCGGGGCGGTGTCTTTAGGCTATTCCCAAAGGGGGGAGGGACATTTCTCGTTCTAGTGCTCAGTAGAATTGTAAATGGGCTGATCTAACAATGCCATGCTCATGACTGCCTGAACTACAACAGGGAACTGCTCCGTTTTCTTTCCTAATCCTTACTATCGTCATTTCCTCTACTTCGTTTGTATGTTTGTCACACTCTAGTGGCCCGCTGTTTCCGGGATGCCTTGATAGTCAAAGCAGACTTTGTGCTGTTGAAGCTACAGAGGTGATCAGAGTAAATCTGATTCCCTGTAAGGACTTCTCTGTTTACGTCCACCCCTTGGCGCTCATGTGACCTTATGCAGTTGCGAGCGCTGTAAAATCTCTACTAAAACTAAAAAGCAATCTTGTCGAAGTTCAATCATGTTGATTTCCTCCTCCTCCCTTCTTTCTCCTGGTCCTCTTCTTTCTTGTCGCCGTTTCCCTCCTCCTCCTTCAACCATGCCCTACATTCTGCTTTAGTAGAGCGGTGAATTATGGTCGAATCCAGCCGTGATGATCTCCTCACCCTTCCCGTCCCCCTCTCCCTCCTCATCTACCCCCCCCCCCCCGACTGGTTGTTCACGTACATTCTAGAGTAAATATGTCAACATTCTGTTGCCTTCTCAGATCAATATGTTCCCTCAATAAGGTATATTTGTTTGCCTAGATGCGTTGCAAGTTCAGTCTGTTCCGCCTTGCCCTCCTCTATTAAAAATTGCCTTTCGTTTGGGCGTACAGTGGTCACAACCCATTCATTCCCACTATAGGTTTATATATATCAGCTTTCCCCTGTGTAACCTACTTTGTCTTAATCGTTCCGTGTTCTTTCTACCTTCACATCTCTTTCCCCCCCCCTCTCTCTCTCTCTCTCTCTCTCTCTCTCTCATATGTTAAAATATGTGGATGTATGGGCCAAAGGCCTTTCAAATCAATAAATCATTTTTGAATCTTTGAATCTCTCTCTCAATGCTATTTTTTCACATCTATATAGTGACATTTGTCTGAACATGTTACTGGCGCTTTTACCAGCGTATGTCGTGTAATAGTAAGGCTCATCGCCGTTGTCTCCTGGGGCGTTCTCCTCTCGGGTTGGCCCTTAGTAGTGTGGCCAATGAGTCGCTTTAGCTATATCCGGATAATATGTTAGTGCACCTCTTCGGCAAATAATAGGATATGAACCGTTTCGACAAACGGGTTAGAACCACTTCAACTAATGGGTGCGGTGCGACCACATCGACAAACGGGTTAGCACTACTTCAACAAATGGGTGCACCCACTTCGGCAAAGGGGTCAGGAAAGAGAGTTAAGAGTCTGAATTCGGATGTTTCATTGAGAATTATCCGGTTATCCTTATAGATTATCCGGATTTTGTCCACCTCTGCCTTACAAGCAGGTGGGAGAAACCCGTTTTCTAAATTACCATCTCAATTGTGTCGATCAGTGTGACGCTTTTTGAGCCCGCCTCCTAAATGATCTGGATTTTGTCGATGGGTGACATCTTCTCGTGTCTACATTAAACAGTTAAAAATTCCCCTGTGTGTACTGTGTACTCCCCCCCCC